ATCTCTATGAAGAATTTCAGTCAGGTTTCAGGCCCCACCATAGCACAGAAACTGCACTTGTTAAAATTACAAATGACTTGCTTCTTGCGTCAGACCAGGGCTGTATCTCATTGCTAGTTTTACTTGAATCTTAGTGCTGCGTTCGATAATATAGATCATGACATACTCATAGATCGATTACAAAACTATACAGGTATTCAAGGGCAGGCTTTAAGAGGCTTTAGATCCTACCTGTCTGACTGTTACCACTTTGTTTATTTAAACGGGGAATCATCTCAATTAACGCCAGAAAAGTATGGAGTGCCACAAGGATCTGTCTTAGGCCCTCTGCTATTTTCAATATACGTTTCTGTGAAGCTGCTTTGCAATGATTCGTATCATGAAAAGTGTTATAAAAATATACGTCAATTGAATATAATTTTTTATTTTAATTTGACATTCTTATATTAATCATTTTTAGTGTTTTATTTAGATTTTTTATTTTTAAATTATTTATTTTACTTTTATAAATCAATTATTATTTAATAATTATTATTTATTATTTTTTAAATAAAATGATCTTTTTGATTGTTTTTAAAGAACTAGAATGGAAAAAACTAATATAGTTGCAGAAAAGTAAACGTAATAAAACGAGCACAGAAGTTGATTCCTCACCTGTCACTGGTTAGTTTTGGGCCCAGATGACGGTTGTTTTATGAACATGTGCTTCTTCAGACACACAGAGCTTCTGCTGAGGCCAGTTTCTATCAATAAACCCACTGGACGCTTTTACACGTGACCCGCGGGCCACAAAACACATGTGCCGTCCCTCCATCGGCTCATTAAACGCACATTAGCCTGCGGTTAATGCAGTGAAAGCAGGATGATGTACAGTAATATCATGACATATTTCTGTGTTTTTGTCCTCAGAGGACAAACTGGAGACGCTGCGTCCCGAGTTCTGCGTCTCCAGCTCTGGAGAAATCCTGCAGGCCGGTGATTCGTGGAAGCCGAACGCCTGCAGCAGCTGCGTCTGCCGTAATGGGAGCGTCCAGTGCTTCTCGCAGCAGTGTCCGGCTGCCGACTGCAGGGTCCCTGTGCTGCGGAAGGGCCAGTGCTGCCCGCAATGCATGCTGGGTACGCGTCTACATACACAAACACACTAATGACAGTGATTTTACCATGGGAAAAAGTGTTTGAACAGTAAAAAGTGGAGTAGAATCAGTAACGCACAGACTCGGCAATGTAAGATGGTACATTTAATAATCAGAATAAATCATTCTGAATTTTACTTTTTTTTTTTTTATTAAACTTAGTGTTTTTATTTAGTGTTATTCATTTAACTTTACATTTTTATGATTTCATTCATTTTTAGTAAGTGTTTTAATTTGATCGATTGATTATTTATTTCTTTATTTTAGTTTTACATTATTATAATGTAATTAATTTTTAGTGTTTTCTTTGTAATTTTAATTTAAATAACATTTTATTATTTTAATTTTACATTTATTTATTTGTATTAACTGTTATACAACATAACATTTATAATTTTTTATTATATTTATATATATATTGTTTAATTTTGAATGTGTTTTATAAGTATTATTTATTCAATTGTACATTTTTATAATTCAATTTTTAGTCTTTTATTTTATTTTTTTATTCATTTTAATGTTATATTTTAATAATTAACTTTAGTAAGTGTTTTATTAAACAATTATGAAAATATTTTATTAAATTATTTTATTAAAATAATACATTAAATCAGCTGTTACATGCAACAATGCATGACATGCCAGTCAGAGTTGAAATCTGTTTTATAAAAAGAAATCGCCGCTAAAGTGTTTCAGGCACAAGCATCAGTCAGTGAACATTCGCTGGCTTTAATAATCAAAGTCAAACGCTGACGTTGATCTGTGGTGTTCAAGCCTCGATGGCAAACATTCCTGCGATATCGACACGTTCCTCTCAATGTGAGGAAAGAACAAGCGAATATCACTCCATCAGCTTTTCCTTCGCAGGGAAAAAGCCTCCGTGTTTCATCTTTGCTTTGTTTTGATTTTGAAGCTTGATTTTCTCCATGAGAAATGAGCTGAATGAATACCACGTTTAGATGATGTTTGAGAGATTGATGAGCTCAAGATGATTTTGTGTGTTTGCAGAGATCACGAACACATCAGTGCCGGTAATGCTGTCGACGGCCGTCACCGAGAGCCGGATCACCGCCGCTCCTCCGGTCCTCGCCGTCACCGGTAATTACAGTCTGATAATGAGCGCACGATAGAGCCGTCTCACTGATCTGAGAACAACACGAGACACCGCACAGCGCGAGGAAGACCCCAGCTGATCTCATTTTAATTCTACTTTTTAAAAAAAATTATATATTGAAAAATATTTGGTTGTCTTTATTTTTATAGAAAATATATATTTTATTTTTATTTATTTTTTAAATTTAGTTGTTTAATTTTTAATGCTTTGTTTTTAATTTACATTTCTATGATTATTTTTATTATTTACTGGTTTATTATTATTATTTTTATATTATAGTGTTTGTTTTTACTGTTTTAATTTTTTTTTAGTTTTTTATATATTTTTTGTTTTTGTTTTACTATTATATATTTATTTTAGTTTTATATTTTTGATAAATTTTTTGTACTTTTTAAATTGCCTTTATTTTAAAGTTGTTTATTTATGTATTTATTTAGTTTTGTTTTACATGTGTATG